GAGTTGTCATTTCAACACTATACATAGGTTATAACATGTGTGGTAGGTGTCACATTAGCTATGTCAGCTATTTCATTCCATTCTCACAAGGATCCTATGGAGTATTAGTATTGCCATTTTACAGATGGAAAAAAAATGAAGGTCAGAGATTATAGTGTACTGCCTCGTACAAACAGCAATTTGAACTGGATCCAACCCAAGATTCGGAGTCTTAATACCAGTCCATGAGGCCTCTTTAAAAAGAACATCATTTGAACTTGGGCAATTTAAAAACAAACAAACAAACCAGACTACAGCTTTTTCCCATAAAAGTCATCAAGTCAATCAAGGAAGCCCCAGACTCTTATCTTGCAATAAGATTAGTGTCCCAACATGGTACCTTCCTTCCTCTCTCCTCTCCCTTAAGTAACTGTTTTAAAAATTATATACTTGATATCAACATGGTTACTGGCAGTAGTGGAGGAAGGGAGTGTGTGAATGAACTGAGCAGAATATGGGATGCCTTATCTCTGTATAGCACCCGGGATTTGGTGTAGAAAAAATATTCCCATACAAACACAGCAAGAGTCAGTACAATGTTAAGATCTCTCTCTCTCTCTCTCTCTCTCTCTCTCTCTCTCTCTCTCTCTCTCTCTATATATATATATATATATATATATATATATAAATAATGTATTATTTTCAGAGAAGAGGTGAGAGGAGGTGAGAGGAGTTCAAATAATTATCACAGGATAATAATGCCATTAAATCTAACTAAGCAAAAGATATTTCCTGGGAGAAACGAATTTTGATTCACATTCAAAGAACGATAGTATTCACAGTGAGACTTGGAATAGGAAGGGAGCAAAGAGGAAATTCTTAACAAAACATGGGAACATCAGGAGAGAGATGAGCCAAATCTAATAAAGGCAGTGATAAATACATAAATATCATTTAGCTGAACAGGAAATGGTTGCAAAGTAATGCAAACGGAAGTGACACACTATGACACAATAAAATTTACTCATATAATGAGCTAATTCAGCAAGGAGTAGAACATATTAAAATGATCTTGAGTTGATAAGTGTTATTAGATTTAGACAGGAACATTAGATTTAAAAAAAAAAAACACTATAAGACTTTGCTTCATCTCTTTCACTAAATAAATGAAGGGGTACCTGGGGAGGGCCAATGACTTTTAGAATCCATATCTAGGTTAGTGGTACAGCCCTTGTGATCAAGCCTGTAGTCTGGTACTACTTTTATCATACTAGTCAAATCTCAGGAAACACCCCCATCATCTGTTCACCTTCCCAGCTGCAGCCACAAGGCCACCTGATAGTTAAAGTTTCTCTGTATTACTAATAACTCCCTTGGCCATAACAGACACACCTAGGAACAGTGACTCAGGGAGAAACCAAGGCCTGAACCCAGGAAATGCAGTACAGAGCACCTCAAAAATTACCCTGCCCTAATTCTCACTAGACTTTTGTTCATGTGTCTTCTTGATTCTATATTTCACAAGATTAAGATTCACATCTCACAGAAGCAGCTAGCCTAGAATTAGGAAACAGAGAGGCAAATAGCATTCTGGTTAAACATTTACATATTCAAGACTATCAGAAGTTATAATTTATGGATATCTACCATTGAGTGGCTAGAAGAAAAATTACTTTAATGAAAGATGACTTTTCTTTTAAGTAATTAGAGAGGATACTTTCTTAAGAGGTATTCACAGTAATTAGGAATACATGCATATATCATCTTGGGAACACCTCCTGAGAGACAAATAATTACCTGAGAAAAGTCTTGCTAGATGCTATCAGACTTTATAAAGTTGACCCAAATGTAATTATGTCAACCCCATGGTGAAAAATATAAAGGGGTTAGAAAAAGAGTCAGTAAATAAAAATATGGGCCTTTTAAGCACAAGTAAAATATTAACTGCAATTAGATTTTCCCAAAGGAAAATTCTCAAATAACAAAATAAGTAAACATACAAAAGAAAAAAAGAAAGAGAGCAAAAGAACAGGAAAAAACAAACAAAAAAACCCTGTAAACAACTTCTAAGTGACAACTGGCAAAAATAAAATAAATCAATAAAACAAATCTATGGATTTCAAAAATATTATAAAGATTATATTCTGCTTATAAAAGCAGAATGATTCAGAGATTGTATTACTTAAAATAGAAACTGTGAAGATTAATAAACAGAAACCCATTTAAACTGGAGTTGGGAGGGTCTGTTAAGGGGAGCTCTCATTGTCAATTCCCAAACAGGAAGAGAGTTACTTTCCATCTCTGACAGAAAGGTGTTTTTGTGCTACTGCTCCAAGCAGGAAGAAGGAGGATCTTCACCTGCCCAGCAACCACTCAGCCAATGAAAGCCTGTTACAACTCAGCCAACAAAAACCCACTGCACTTCAATGGATTCTATTTACAACATCCCCTCTGAGTATCCAGTTTCCTCTATAAAGGAATGTCCCTCTCTTTGGTTCTCTGAACTTATGCATGGTTTGCTATTAGACCATCCAGAACTGCAATTCTTTGTTGTTCCTGAATAAACCCATTTTCGTTGCAGAATTATCTGGCTAATTGTTTAAGGTCAGTAAACAAACACATACAAATTAGTAAAATTCAAAAACAAAACATTTCCAGTAAAGATAGATAAGGTATAGTACCACTTTTATTTCCTTTCTCAAGAGACTAGAAGTTTAATTTGGTAGTTACGATCAGACTTCAAATGCTTGGACCTCTAAGAAAATTGCTTTTCCGTTCTTTTTATTATTTTAAGATTTTTCAATAATATGGCATTTATTTTCATAAGTACCCTATCACAGTTACAAACAGAAGAGTGAAAATGGATTTAAATTTTTCTCTGAGATGGCTTTCTGGGTTCTACTTTGCTGCTTCCTGGCCCCAGTTGTTTGGCCTCATATCTCCATAGAGTTTGATAATGTTCATTACCCAGAGAATCTCCCTGAAAAATTTGGAGGCAAGAAACTTTCTCCTAGCCATTAAAATATACATTATTCAAACATTTTATGAAAAAAAAAAAAGATCAGCCTCTTTATAATGCCATGATAATTCACTGAGAATTACCAATAAAGAGAATTTGTCCTCCGAAAATAGTTCAAAAACAGAAAGTTTATCCTCATAACTAATAGGCTCGGTAAAAAATTATCTTTCTTATTTTTTGTCACTTTGATTTTGTGTAAGAAAAGAATAACATCACTCTACTGTCTTACAGTATGAACTTCAAGTTTCTCAGCTTGTTAATGCAGTTGAGGGTTCCCAGCAGACAATGACCAGACAGAGGATGTCACTTTTACATTCTCTTTAAATAAATAGCTGTCAGATTAAAAACAAAAGTACATCGAACAGTTATGACTAATGTTCAGTTTCCAGTGAGTGCTGGCCCAAGAAGTCACGGTATTACCTAAATTTCATTTTGTGTCACAGAAATGCAGCCTCCCAAAGGAAATAAGCCATGGTGTACACTGATAAAGTCATCACGGCTAAGTTTACCAAAATAATAACATTAATCTTGACTATTGTAGTTTTCAATTTTCACTTAACAACACTGTGGTTCAAAAACATATTGTGCCCCCAAATAGAAATAAGCAAATGTTGGTACTTGATATTTGTTGTTTTACCTTTACAAGGGACACAGGTATATTCTTGCCTTTTGTTCTGTTGTTTTACAAAATACAATTGCATAATATGTTCACAGAGCAGTGGATCATACAGTATTAAAAATACTCATGGTTCAGTTCTGAATATTGAACTGACAGCTCAATTCATTCAATAAAAGTTTGGACACCTGTGGTGTACCTGATTCTATAGTTAATTTATAACAATTGGGATAGGTTAGTGCTTTCTTTAATGTAATTCTGCTCAAGGAGTTAGTATGGCTAAAAAGTCAGGCTATTTGAGCTCGAAAGGTTTGGGAAAAGATAATCACTTCACTTTTCCAAAGCCTACATTTGACATTAGCCTCAGAACACTGTGTTCCCCTAACATGATTGCGAAGCTTTTAGTTGCTTTTCTTGCAATCGGTTACCATTTCATTGTGGATTTCAAGGGTCTTATATTTCTGTACTTCATAAATGCATGCTTCTCTAGCATTTCTGTGTCTTGTTGACATGAAAGAAAGCAACACCTTGGTATGTATGCATCCTAAGTTCCCTTTTAGATCTAAATCTCTATATTGTACAGTATCTAACTAAGAACTAGATGCTTTATAGTTAAAAATCATAACTTTTTGTCCATACATTTTAAAACTCTAGGTTGAACTCAATAAACAGCTTAAGAAATATTGTTAGTTTCCAAATTGCCTATCATGGTTCTGAGTACATAGAAAACTCTCAATAATTTTTATTTAATTGATTAAAATAAAATTTCTACAATTTAATATGAGCTCTCAAACAGAATCGCTGAGATTTATAAGCCAATATAAATATTTAATGAAAAGCACGAAGGCCCTAAAATGCTAAGTACCTCTAAGGACCGTTTTTCAGAATTTTACATTATCATGCCTAATTTTATACTGTTTCCACACAACTCAGGAAATAAGTAAATCTATGGTTTATTTAATAGCATAAACTATATCCAGTGCAAGATTTAAGGCTCAGTCCTATTGAGAACAAAGAAAATTTCACAAGGTTTGCCAGCAACATATTTCCTTTCAGAAATTAAGGAAAATGTTACTGCTTTGAACTTATGAATGCGTCAAATCATCGCACACACCTTAGCCTTCATGAGCGTAAGGCCTCTTGTGTGTATGTCCATTAGGAAGAGAAGGAAAGCTCTACCTTTAGCAGGGACCTAACACCATTCTCTCAGATATATGCAAGATATGGGAGGTACAACCGTCCTATGTATCCACATATATATTTCCTGAAAACAATAAGCATGGTCCATACATATAGAGATTATTTTATTATACATATATGTTTTACCACTTTGGTGCTTTTCCACATGTTTCAGATGTTTCATTTAGAAATAGAAATAGTTATTACCTTTCTTGCATCTTTTATCATCTTCCGAATAGTTTCCTTAATTGTAAGTAGGTGTGCTTTCGGTGGGTGAAAGAGGAGGTCTATATGGGTGCTCCCTAAGAGTCCAGGCATCACATACGGCCAGCCTATGTCAAGATTTGGAGCTTCCACATCCGACTCAATGGGCCAGTAAGTCCCTGAAGATGAGGTATCATCGTAGGAATCATCAGTACCATGTGCTGCACTTGGTGCAACTTTCTGGACATTTTTCAAAATATAATTAATTTCTTCCTCAGCTAGAAAGTCTGATGCTCGTTCGTTGGCAAGAAATTCTTGGTATGCTTCTAACCCATGTTCAATCAGAATATCAATGGCTATTCGATACCATTCCTTGTAGTGAGGCTCAATGTAATTGTCTGATTTGCACTCATCATTCAATGAGGACAGCATTGACGAGGTCTCCATTCTTGCAAGGGTTTGACAACAGCACTTTCAAATGTCCATTTGTGCAGCAACAAGAGGTACCTGGGTGTTTGAAAAGAAGGAAATCAAGATCAGTTAGAATTTTGTAATTAAATGCTTTACAATCCATGTCAGCTATTATTTTTACATTTACTCATCTTTACATTCTACTACCTGTAGCTCAATATGACATACATTTCCTATCTAAAGTGGCATTACTTACATCATAATTCAAATGTCTACCACAAATAGATTTGCTTTTACAGACCGCTAAGTGATTTTTCCATTTCCAAGGTACCTCTGCTTTCAGTTTCTCACCTAAGGAAATACACCTTCCTTTCTTTGATATCCACAAAGTCCATCCTTCTTAACTTCAACCTGAGACTGTGTACATGGTGGTATCAGTTTCTACAAGCTTTTTTGATTTTGGCTTTAACATATTTTAATAGAGTACAATCAGTACCTGGCTAGCCATTAATACAAGGCTTTTATTGAGTACTTGTTATGCATATAATCACATACTGATGAAATATAAAAACCACAAAACACTTGCATTCCAGGAATTTGTGAATTAGCTGAAGAGGCAAAGTGCACATGAACAACTGTTATCACTTTGAACAAAGCCATATATTGCTAAAAGTCAACATGAGTACAGCCTGTCATCAATGCTTTCAGATAAAAGCAAGTAGAAATCAATAAGAAATAAACCAGTCACAGACAGCCCTCTGCAGGAGGTGGGCTTCAGCTGAGCCTGGGATAGTGAGTAAAAATACAACCACATGGCAAAATGAGTATTTCATCCCACACAAGAGGGAAAAACGAGCAAAGGCACAGAACAGGTATCAGCTTGTACATTCAGAACTCAGTGACAATGCTTGGTCTGCCAGAAAGCACATTCCTTTTAGTAGGAGTAGGAGATAATGTTGAATAGACACGATGGAGCCAGGTGTGGAGAGACACAGGAGACTTGTGTGATTCAGCAAAACTGTGTTTAAAACAATGAGTCTGGAATTATCAGGGGAATGGAGGAGAGACAAGTAGCTAGGAGTCTTTCAGCATTCAAACACCCAGTGAAGAAGTGACAAAAGTATTCAAGGGATGGTTCAAAGCAAGAACTCCTGAGATTTGGTGGTTAGACAATGTACAGGTGATGAAAAAATTTAAGACATCAAAGATAATTTAGGGATTTCTCTGAGGAATCAAAATCTACCTTTTCAAGCTCACACTCCAGCCCTCCTAATGCCCACAAAATATTCATTCAGTCACTCACCATGGGAGATACTGGATTGGATTTTATCTCAGTCAAATAAGGGACGTCCTAGTCTTTTGAAGTCATGCTCTCCATTGTGTGGATTTACACAAAGTACAACTCTATGATGTGCTACAAGCACTAAAGGGCTAATTTCACTAAAAACATCTTTGTCAGTGGCTTTGCCCTAATTTTAAATTCTCCACTTAACTCAGCCTTTCTTTTCTTTTCTTTTCTTTCCTTTCCTTTTCTTTCCTTTTATTGGGGAACAGTGTGTTTTTCCAGGACCCATCAGCTCCAAGTCAAGTACATAGTTGTTTCAATCTAGTTGTGGAGGGCGCAGCTCATTGGCCCATGTGGGGATCGAACCAGCAACCTTGGTGTTATGAGCACTGCGCTCTAACCATCTGAGGTAACCAGCCTCCCCTAACTCAGCCTTTTCATACACAGGCCTACCAAAATTCAAATCTGATTTGGAAAGATAACCCAGGAAGCCACTACCTTTATTTACTCTGTAGCTCAAAATATGGAATAGGAGGCACAAATCATACTGAGAAGTTGTGAAGGAATCGACAACAAGGTCACATGTTTTTCTGGGCAGGAAGGGATCAGAAAACATCCATCATATATATACTAAGGCAGGGCCGAGAAGCAAGGAAAATAAAGGGTTCACGTTACTGTATTACTGGAGAAAATCCTGTCTCTATCCCTAGGCTCACAACTTTTACCAAGACAGTCTAAAAGTATAGAAAACCTAAAGATTAAATCCAATATAAGAATAAAAACAGAACATGCTCATGCTACTGGCATATAGTGTGTAGAGGCTAGGGAAGCTGCTAAGCATGCCTCAGTGCACGGGATAGCCACCCATATTAAGGAATTATCTGGCCTAAGAGGTCAATAGCACCAAGGTCAAGAAATCTTTATCAACTTACTCACTTCATAGGCATGATATCATACTACTAGTGAATGACCTTGTCAATGTTCATTAAAGTTCACTTTTGGATATAATACTCATTTATAACAAAGAAAAAAGGTTTTTATTTGTTTAACAGAATCAATCCATTTGATTAAAATATACTTCCCTAAGGTTTTGCAAGGTGTGATTTTCATTTGATAAATCCATGTGGGACAAGCACCCAGTGATCACATGAAAATCACATTTATTATTTGTAATTGTTAAAAATGGTAGGTAACTGCTGGTTGTTCAAAACAATTTTTAAGTTTTCTTAGCACTTATTTTTTACTCTTTAAAATTTAACCTTTGAATTCCTACAGTAAATATGTATTACCTTTGGAAGTTAAAATGCATAAAGTAGTTTAAAAAACTGTATTCATTTCTGAGCTTTATCTATCAAATATATACTTTTCAGCTGCCAAAAATTCATTGTGAAACTATGGGTAAACTGAGAAATCATAGAGATCAAAAAGAATTATGAAAGCAAAACCATGAAGATGTAGATGAAAAGTTAATTATGAAGGCTAAAACTAAGATGAGAAAAAAAGAAACACTGTAGGACTCACAAATAGCAATGAGAGCCAGATACAATGCTGACAAACACATCAAAGAAAAAATGCAATAGCTGTGAGCATGGACTTTGAAATATTATGCACAGAGTTAAGATAAAAAATAAATACACTTAATATTGTCCTGTTGGAGAGGCAATACTCTAACCACTGTCTAGTGATATGCATTTATGTAAACAAGAGCTCTTTACAAGTCATACTTATGACGGAGCCATCTAACAAATTTTAAGGGAGAACAGCAAGGAATGGCACCTTCATAAACAGGTACTGCAATAAAATAGCACCTGTACTTAGTTAGGTACAGACTCACGGGTTCAGTCACTGAACATTTGAAAGGCTTAATTTGAGGACAAAATTAATTGGGTATGCCTTTAAACATATAAAAGCGCATTATTTATTAATAACCATTAGAACTCCTAGAAAGCTATCAACATACACAATAGAGTTAATAATGAGTAGAGAAACATAATATCGCTCTATGATGTAAAAGCTGAGCAGAATGTTAGGTTCATCTACTTGTTAAATGGCTTCATGCCAGAAAAAATACCCTTGTAAAATACAGGATTGCATCCATACCTCAAAACAATTACAAAATACATTTGATATTGAATCTGTAGTGTAATTTGTAGAAAGTATTATTGCCAAATGTTAAATCTGTAAATACAAAGGATACAAAACAAGGTATAAAAAATTAAATTTCAAAAACAGATTGGCAGTTTCATTTATAAAACTAAATACGCAAAAGGCATACAATGCAGCAATTGTACTCTTGGGGTTTATCTTACAGAAATGAAAACTTATCTTCACACAAAAACTTGTAAATGAATGTTCACAGCGGCTTTATTCCTAATAGCCCTAAACTGGAAACTCAAGTGTCCTTAAACAGGTAAATATTCAACTAACTGGTACACTCATCCTATGGAATACTACTCAGCAATAACATGAACAAACTATTGATACATGCTATTATCTAGATGAATCTCCAGAGAAAAATTCCCCAAAGATTACATGCTGCATAATTCCATTTATCTAATATTCTTGATATGGCAAAATTACAGAAATGGAGAATAGCTTAGCGGTTGGCAGGGTTTGCCTCATGGACTCATTCTAAGGAAGGGGTGTGGAGGAGGGAGGTAGATGTGGTTCTAAAAGGGTAACTAGAGTGATTTGGGTGGTGATAGAGACGTCCTGAATCTTGACAGGACGTTGTCAAGATTTAATGTCAATGTACTGGTTGAGATATCATATTATAATTTTGAAAGACATTACCACTGGGGGAAACTGAGTAAAGGCTACATGGAATCCCTTATTTCTCTCAACAGCCTGTGAATCGACAATAATCTCAAAATAAAAAGTTTAATTAAAAAATCATACTGATGAGCAATTTCATGTGTCTTGAACAGACAACAAAAACAAAATAGTATGTAGACTAGAGGGTGAGAGCTTGTTTGTGGGGTCAGACTGCCAGGTTCAAAGCCAGCCTCCCCAATTACTGTGAAGGTTGCAAGTAACCTATGCCCATAGCCTTGGTTTGGTCATGTGTAGAAAGGATAACAGAGGTCTTCACCTCACTGAGTCATTCTAAGGAATAAATGAGGTAATGCATTTAAAGTATTCAGCTTTTAATATTAATATTATTATCATTACTATTTTTCATTTTAACAACCTGTTACAGTATAATTGCTATAATGTTACAAAAAGTTTGATCATTGGGCCGGCCGAGTGGCGCGATGGTTAAGAACTGGCTTGGGATGCCAGAGGGCCCCGGTTCGGATCCCACATATGAGGGCCAGTGACACTGTCCTCTACAGCTAAGATGCTGAACAACAGCTCAACCTGGAGCTGGGCTGCCGTGAGTCGCTAGCGACGGGGTAGGCTGCAGTCCCTGTGTCAGTGGGTTGCCATGGACTACCGTGTGTAGCCAGCAGCCAGTGTGAGCAGCCAGCAGCCTCAGTGAGCGGCCGTCCAGAAGCCGGTGACTGATCTGCCTCTCCAGGGAAGAGTGCAATGATGGTGTTAACTTGGGCAAGTGAAGCAACGTCCTCCACAACTAGATTGAAGAACAAAATGACAGCAACTTGTCTGTTCCCCTTCCCCAATCCCCCAGCACTGTTCCCATCCCCCCAATTCCCCAATAAAAATCTTAAAAAAAAAAAAGTTTGATCACAAGAGTTTATTTTTTTATTTAAAAAATGTAATGTCATACCGTTAGCAATGTCATTCACTATTTCATCAACTGCAGGATTAAACAGTCAAACCTAGTGTCGATTTGTTTATGGTTTCTGAT